AGCCTAAAAATTCGAATGGTATTTTGGATCATACCTAGGATTTAAAATACTACACTGTATATAATAAGGAATATTAAGATTTCACATATTAACTCAAGTAAAACACAAGGCGTATATAAACCTCAACGTGGTAGTGAAAAGAGTGGCGCAAAAGAAGATATATGAATACCCAAATAAAACAGAACAATACAAAAGCATGAAATAAAATGCAGCTCTAGAACCTCGATGTAATCCAAAGGTGATTCGAAAATAGTATAAAATTTCAGACAGAAACCCAAGTCACCTAACAATAATCTTAAGTAAATTAGCACAATCCATTCTATCAGACTCGAAAAAGAGAGCTATTTGAATAGTATGGAGAAGAAATCGAATGAATAAAGATGGGCAATGATGAAATCCAAGACGAATTCAGATAATAAGTATGAAATTAGTAGCTTTCCATTAAGATTTGGTTAACTTGATGATAAGGTATGTTCACTTTAAGGCTGCGGAGATGAATAAAAATTCATCAGTGACTGACACCTCTCCGGCTTATGAAGTAGAAAAGATGATGGTACTCAAAACCAAATCGAAGATGAGACTTAATAGTGCTCGTCTGTCACTTTAGCCTCAAGAGAAAACCGAGATGGTACTAATATAAGATAGAGTATGTATAGAGAAAACATCAACAAAGTTAACTACGGATCAGTAAAATAGGCTGAGGCAAGTCTAGCCGGTTACATCTAGCTTAAGATCAGAGTCAAAATATGGAATATGATCCGGACTCCGGCTCGTTTCATCTGGAAAGGCTGATTCTGATATAGACGTGTCAATCATGTTCGCAGTATCATGCAAGTCGGCCATTCTAGCCGATTCCAATTTGTCGATTGAGTCAGAAGCATTGGTCATCGAGTCGGGGTCCAATTTTTTCTCATATGCCTCATTGAGCAAACGGGTTTCGACTGGCAAAAATTGAGCAGATATGTCCGATTTCGTATGGTTGAAGTCGGTCTCAGAATGGACAGAAGGCCAAAAAGGAAAGACCGAGCGAGGGGCGTTATCGACGGTCAACAATGATGCCGCATGACGCGCCAACTCGCCAGGAAAGGCTGGCGGTGGTGGATGCTGGCCGCGAACTCGGAGCCAGTGGGGTGGAGGAGCTACGGGCAGAAGACTAGGAGGTGGATCTAGTGATGGAAGTGCTGGAGGGAAGCAGCGGATAGTCTTTAAAGAGAGTAAAGTAGAAAATTAGGTGAAAAAAGTAGATCTTGTAACTGGGTATTATTAATCTTCAAATGAATATATCAATGAGGAAATTGATGTAAAGTTGTATTCTAAACAAGACATTTAAGTACTAGACCTGCTTATTATGAAAAAGTGAATGGTAAAGGAAGAGGAATAGAAAAATAAGAATACTAGTATAACTATTAAAGGTAAACTTGTGTCGACGTCTCTGAGTGAATAACCCTTCAATTCCGGTAAAAATGTGCTAAGTTTTCGTCAATCGTATAAAGGTCATCAGAGCAGGGTATAATCCTTACAAGCAAATTCAACCTAACGAGTCATTAAAGCTCACCGGCTCATCTCTAAATGCTGCATATTTACACTTAATCTAAGCTCTTTTATGAGGTATAAAGCGATTTGACGTCTAAATATTTTGCAGATACGAAGAGTAACTGGGTTTTGATGAATCGGCTGTCGTCTTGTGATGAGATCAAACTATGAATCTCTTCTTTATGTACTTTCATACGAAATGAAGGTCTCCTTATAAAGGTTTTGTCTTTAATTAAGCTGTCATTAAGACCAAATAGAACAATTAGTTGAAGGTGATCCAAACTCAGATAGTTAAGATAAAAGCACCCTGAGCCATTGCCTATTTATAAGCTTTACGGTGTCATTATATACCCAATAACCACAGACATTATTGTAAACTGGGCTAAATAAATGCGATGTTGGGGGGACTTTCATTTCATATTAAATTGCATGGAGAAAAGATTTGTAGGTTGATCTCATCAGAAGAGGACGGCTGAATCCTGTTGTACTGCAGCCTTGGCTTTTATGCGACGTTCAGGTTGACGCAGTCTACGAGACACCTCTCGTTTCGGGTAAAATTTAGATGAACTTTCGTCCATCATATGCGGTCCGGACGACCTCGACGAACACACTCTGTTAAGATAGCTTTGTCATAATTATCATCACTATTTCTGATGTGGGAAAATTGACTTGGTAAATTCCCAGATAATCAGTCGGCATCGTAGTCGGAACCTAAATGAGCCTTGTCATTTTAACACCAAGCTACAACGCGGTAGATGCAAGCGAAATCTACCTATATCTTGGACAAATTAATGAGGAATGATTGTGGTATCCCTCCTTCTATCCCTCATATCCACTTATACCTATCACCGTAGCTGGTCCTTTTCTATCACAACTTTTGGCTTACTTATCCTGGACTATTCCAGGCATCATTTTGAGTGGTTTTCGTTTGCCAACATGGTGTGCTAGATGTGCTACCCCGACTTAGACCCATCAGTCTGCAAACTACCCTATTTAATTCCTTTTCGAATCTACCTCGCTCCTACGAAGATCCATTTCTTATTTTGCTGATTGACTGAATCACTCAGCCAATGTATCCGTTTCACTCAAGGCGTCAATTCTCATTATCTACTGCGGGCATTTGATATTACTCTTCCAAGGATACTGTATATCAGGGTTCTGAGGCCCTGATCTACAAGCTTGTTTCCTTTGGTTGACTACAATCATCACAATCGTCTTCTCTTGATTTATAATCTTTCCTCATCTGAATCTTCCTTTCAATCTATTTTTCCCTGGTTAAAGATGGATCTTTGAATCCATAGTCTCCTTTTAACCGATCTGACTGGTTTCCAGTTTAATCCAAGTTTGCTTAGGCACAAAGTAACGGTTAGGCTAACTCTATCCTCTTCAAATCTCCTGATCATTAGTTTTCTCACAGCACGAAGGTCGAAGGACTGCCTAATAGCTTATTTTCTTTCATGTTTTCCGTATGAGACTAGTCTCTGTTTCTTTCCAGTTTATCTTGTCTTATATGTACATGTGTTCTGCTATTTCTAATTTCTCCATTTCCATTTTTATGCAGTCTATAGCTTCCTTAGATTTGTATGCCAATTATTCACCCCGTTCCGCCAATATCCCTGTTTAGTCACCGCGTATTATGCAATAAATTTCTGAGCAATCCAGTTTGCTGACACCTTTTTATTACTCATAATTAGTGATTAATTTTAAAGAAACTGCTAATTATATTGTCAAATAATTTCTATCGATAGATCTGAAAACTTTGTTGTCTGTACTGAATTAGCTAGGTAAATACATAAAATGAATGTAAGAGAATGTTTGGTTCACACATAAATCTCACGCAATTGACTTATTAGGATTAAAGATAATGTGAAATTTCCTGGCTAAATAAACCCTACCCTCTATCTCTCGTGGGCAACCCTAACTAGATCATTTGAAGCTGCAAGCAAAATAGAAAATAAGTTCGTACTATCTTAGAACAAGTCAGGATAAGGGCCGTTTGAATAATGAATACGATGGGTAAGAACAAGGGACAAACAAGCAAAAATGATTACATGGGATTTTAATTTGTATCGAAAAAATAAAGTAAACATTAAAAATGGACATAATAATAATAAAGACTATGGCAAGCGACTATCGATCCAATATAAAATATTTTAAAGAAAAACAACCAGGTGAGACTTACTGGGCTAGTACCAGGATGCGGCTGGTGCATACGAAATGTGGCGGAGAAGAGATTAGAAAAAACAACGGCAGCTGCAGCGGCTGCAGTGGCTACCGGTGGTTGTGGTGGCGGTAGAGCGAGTGGAGCAATTGACAAGGGACCAGAGGAGATACCAGTCTTCTGAAATAATCCCTCTGATCTTGAGTTTCTTTTTATGGGTGAAGAGCCAGCTGAAGCGAGATCGACTGTGGAAAGGGGTAACAAAGAATCCGTGAATGGATCAGGCATCATTGCATCTTCATGTAAATCAATCGGAGATTCAGCAGTGGCATTGTCAACTCCATAGGCAGGCGATACTAAAGTATGTTCAAGAGGATCTTGAGCTATGTGTTATTAAGTATGTGGATATTGGAAAGACAGATTAGGTGTTATTTTTGATGGATGGACTGGGCGAATGTATAGGACATGAGGAATGAACGTTTGAACAACAGAAAAACGAGAAAAGAAAATATGAAAAAATTTAGGTTAAAATTGTCCTCTTGCAATGCTTGAAGTTGGTGAAATACTAAAGCATTCGTGTTATTTTCAATTAAACAGGTTGAAGAGACATGAATATAAATAAATTAGTAGAAATTATAAATATGAGGGTAAAGATAGTGAAAGGCTAGTCCACCTAAATTTTAAAATGTGCGAAGTTCATTGATTTAAAAAAGTAGCCTAAAACGAATAATATACGGATTAATAATGAATAAAGACAAATGAGCTTTTTTTCGTTTTATACTTAGGTCTTCGAGACTACCAATAAATCATCTATATGAGAATAATTCACCTTAGTTTCATTTAAGATGATGAAGGATGAAAATAAGGTTAATACGTCTTGTATAAATAATATACTAGTAGTCTCGAAAATAAGTAACGTAATCTACTGCTATAACAAATACATATTTGCTTTATCGACAATACCTTTACAGAGAGTGATATAAGAAAGGTCTGTCCTTCCTTAAAATTTGGATCTGCCCTGCAACCCAAGGGCAATCGCGTTATTGTTGTGCAGTGCTTAAAGTGTCCAGACTGTATGCTGTACTAATCGAGTTCGAGTCCTGTTATGAATACTGGAAAGACCTAAACAAGCTTGAAACTGCAGTCCACTCGGGATGAGAATACTTTTTTTGGAAGAAAGGCTATGTTAAATCGAATAGAATCGAAATTTGGGGAAAACTCAACTAACAGTCCTTTATCACCATAAATGAAAATAAAGCAAATACGCCTCACATAAATGGCCTCTTTGATTGTATGGGAGAGATGAGGGAAGAAACAGATAAGCTTTAATTAAAAAGAAAAAACATTAATTTAATGGGTACTAATCAAGTCAAAAAATTATAAAAATCATAACAACTTTTAATAAATAAGAGGAAAAAGATATCAAAAAGCCATAAAAATTTTGGTAGGATTAACATCCAGCTCTGACGATGCTTGCAATATTACGAAGGCTGAGTCAGTTTTCACTCGGACCAAATGAAAATGTCTCGTATCGAGCTGTTACAAGATTTTATGTTCATGCGTGAGACTTATGTGGGAGAGACCTGTAGGCCTATAAATAAGAGGTTATCCGTACACAAAATAGTCTGCAAAGGTCTGTGGGTTCAAAATTCGGAGTTGGTTGAGCACATGGCTCACACAAGACACCTAGTAGATTGATATAATGCGCTTAGCTGGATATGGAGACTATAACAGGAAGCGAAAAATTAGGGAAGCGATAAAAATTAACAAAATAGTCGACACCCTGAATAGAAGAAATGATGTAAGGGGGACCTTCATTTCGAATAAAAGTACATGAAGAAGAGATTCGTTTTTCGATCTCACCAGATGAGAACGGATGAAAATCGTTGTACTGCAGCCGTTCAGCTTTTATATTATATTCATGTTGACGCAGTCCACGAGTATTCCTCCCTCGTTTCGGGTGAAAACGTGCTGAGCTTTCGTCCATCATATGATGGACATCATCAGAGCTGACGGATGAAAATCGTTGTACTGCAGCCTTTTAGCTTTTATATTATATTCATGTTGACGCAGCTCCCTCGTTTCCGGTGAAAACGTGCTGAGCTTTCGTCCATCATATGATGGACATCATCAGAGCTGGGTTACATGTCCCTCGTTTCGGGTGAAAACGTGCTGAGCTTTCGTCCATCATTCGATGGACATCATCAGACCTGGGTTTCATTCTTGTAAGAGTCTCACATTAACACTAAAGCAAGAACACTATCCG